TTTTTTTTTTTAATTCTGGGATTTATTTACCTTCTATAATTGAAACTTTGTTGCCGTCACTGGAGCTGAGAGCGGCCTGCTAAAAGCAGGTATCTGGGGTTTGTTTAGCTTCTATAATTGAAACATTGTTGCTTTCGGAGCTCAGAGCCGGGCTGCGGCTGGCGGGGAACCTTGGCTTCCTCCATCACTGGAGCAAGCAAGCCTCCTGCTCGCTTCAGTTGTGTGGCTGCTGGCCGCCATCTTTGTTGGCGGTTAATTTGCATATCGCCCTGATTAGCCAATGGAAAGCATAGCGAAGGTACGGTCAATTACCCCTTTTGTCTTTTATTAGATAGGATTGCTTCCAGTGTTGGTTCTAAATATGAAGACCCCTTCTATAAAGCATAGCCCCTTGTCTCGGGAGGGTTGTGTCCCGTTCCCTAGGCGGGAGTGGTGCCCCCGAGAAGAGAGGGGAGCTGCCAGCAACCACACTTCCTCCAGAGGGAGGGGGTGGTCTCGGCCTTCAGATTCAGGGAGAGGCTCTGCGGGCAGAGAGGGGGAGGGAGCGCAGTGTCCTACTCTAACCAGCAGCTCTTACCTGCTCCCAAGAACCTCTGATGGAGAATCGCAGTGTGATTTGCACTTAAACACTTTTTTTGCTTCTCAGTGGCACTAACTCCCCCCTTTGATATGGGAGGGAACAAACTAGGAGTTGAATCTGGTTATTGTCAACGAGCACATCACCTTCTGCTTTATGTCGTCTCATCATGACTGTGATGCAGCATCCGCCTAACAGTTGCCCAGGACCTCGCGGGTCTCTGCAAGGCGGTGCCCTGCGCAGCCGCCAGGAGCTGGTTTGAGTGCTGCGCTCGGAGGAGGCAGTGGTGGCCCAGGGTCCTCAGGGGCCACGCAGGGATCTGCTGGCTCTTGAGCCCTTGGCCAACGTTTTCAGTTGGGGGCCCCCATTCCCTGTGTCCTAAGTGGGGTTGAAGGCACCCAATTTCCCAAATGCTATGAGGCAATGCGGGTGGCACCTGTCCCCGGCTGCTGCGGAATGAAATCAGTGTTTCTCTCCCGGGATCTGCAGAACCAGTAAGCAGGGGCTGGGTAGTTAAGAAAAAACACACAAAGGCCCTGGCCCGTCAGTGACACCTTAGAGGTCACTGAGCTGTTTCCCAACCTCCTGCTCCAAGCCGGTGGCTTCCCGGCGGCCCCCTGAACGCCCGTCACAGGACACGGTGGGGGATGTAGGAACTTGCCCCGCTTACCCAGCATCCTCTCAGAGTGCCCCCCTTACCCAGCATCCTCCGAGAGTGTCCGCTTACCCAGCATCCTCTGCGCGTCCCACGTGTACTCATACCAGGCCTGGACGCGGGCCCGCACTCGCCTGGGGATGGCGTAGGAGTGCATGTAGGTGACGGTGCGATCCAGGCTGGCCCGGAAGTTGCTCTGCGCAGCCGTGGCGGCTCCGATGACATCGCGCATCTGGAAGCAGAGCCCGGTCAGCCGGCCCGCACCCCGTTCCTCGCAACTGGACTTCTAACCCGATTCTGGTCCGGTTCCCAGCGCTGACATAAATCACTGGGCAGGTCCTCACCCGAACGAACAGTGCGCTGTGTTTTCTCCCGCTGGCGGCGGGCGTGGCCGCACGCAGTTCTCTGCCGTGCGCACTGCCGCCAGGAGGCGGGTGGTTTGAAACCATCCCCCGCGTGCGCGCCAGGAGTGC